GAAGTTGTGTGCTTCATGGAAGATTACTTATCCTAAGCTTTGAGCAACACTGAACTTCAAATGTGAAATTTGTGTATTGTCCCTGTAAATCCAAGGGCAACATATTGAATGCGCCAAGTGTTTTGAGCTGTCTAAGTCTAGTTTCTGTTTTTAACAGTCCACTTTCTTCTGTGGCATTCTTCGTCTCAAAGTGTTTCACACAATTAGTTGGAAAAGCATGCATTGGAGCATGAATTTTTCCAAAGTATGAAGGAGTAATTTAAATATACCCTAACCGAAGACGTTTTGCTCTGCAGTCATGGAGGCAGAATTCTTTAAAAAGGCCTTGTTTTGGAATGCTGCTACACCTAACACAAATGACACTTTGTTATGGTAGGGGGAAAAGCATTGAAACCCCAGTTCTATCTTGTTTTAACGCAAAGACAGGTAGAAGACAGGTTTTGTGGGATCGCTTGCCTTATTGCCGACACAATGGAACTATGCGTGGTAAAAGTAACCAAATCTATCGACTGTGGGTAAGGAAAAATTTGCTTATTTTTGCAACCTTAAATGAAATCAAAAATGCTCTTTGTTTGGGGTAATTTTTTCAAAGCAAATTTGGTAACTTGTTTTGATTAACGTGCTTTTTAAGCGGTTGGAATGTATAATTAACCTGTCTTATTTCAAAAGAAGCCAAATTAAGCTTGTATTGCATTTCGAAGCAGGACTTTACCAGGATGCTGCCATTATTTTACCAAAAATCGCATATTGTAATGTTTTGATTGTTTGTGTAACTCCTCCCTTTGATTCAGCGGGCACTTAAGTCTCCGCTTTTGCGTTGCCGGTGGGAGAAATGGCCGTCAAGCCATGCCGGCAGTCTCCAGACTCGCTGTACATCGTAAATACAATTTCTACCCTACTGTTGTGTCTTCTTTTGACTTTTGAGAGGTATTGGGGTGGTCAAGTAACCAACCTCAGAACTCTGGAGACAAACACCAATTTTGAGACCTGACCAAGTTTGCTTACTTCTCTCATTACCTACAACAAGATTATGTCTGGTAAAGTGAGTATTCCAAAAAAACTGACGCAAGGCTGCGTTTGGAGTTGGAGAAAAGCTCGAGCCTGAACTAAATCGTACTGAGACACAAGGGTAGAGGCTTGTCAGTAGTTTAGATGGAAAGATGCCCTACTGATAAGACCACTTACCCACCAACAATAGTTTAAGTAGCGAAGTTGTGCGCAATTGCAGCAGTACGAAACTTATCATGGTAGGTAAGACAGTCAAAGCAAGTTAATTTGTTCGCATCTACTCGTGAGTTGATGCTTTGGCATGCAGTCCCCCATTCGGTGCTGGCCTACATAGTTGAAGTCGCGTTTTTGGCCATTTACGAAGTTAGATTTTATCTAAAAGAAGCTGCAATAGTGCTGGTCATTTCTTGAACAAAAAAACCTGCAAACAGATTGAAGGCCTCAAAGGCAATGACTGCTGGGAGGTCATCCGCGTATTGCTTCGGGCTGGGTAATTAAGGCAACTGTTCCAGGGAGTGGAAAGCATCTACCAAGCTAATTGCTTCGCATAGCTTAAAACTGTGTTCATTCACTCCCTAACACCCTTCAATTTTGCATTCTGATCTTCCTCCTTTTTCCACTTTGAAGGATGAAATATAGCAGAGCCCATGAAGACTGCCATCCTGGTGTGTACCCTTGCCTCCCTTCGACTCATTCATAAGCACGTAAAATGCTTGATATTTTGGAGTGAGTGACTTTGAGGACACATGAATGCCTTTGCTTTGTTATTTTTCTTAGTGTACAAGAAAGGAATATTCGAAACGCATCTTCTCCTCTCGTTTCTCGACCAAAGCGAAAAGGAATTTACCCTGTTGTGGTTTTGAATACGAATAAGACTCAAGCGGAAATAGACTGTCATTCAAACTAGGAAGAAGTTAACTAACTTCCTTTTTTAACGCTCAACACTTATATGGCTAGAATGACGGCAAAATCAATGCCTTGATGCATGAATAAAGTTGTTAGCTAGTTGTTTATGTGAAACCAAGCAATTATCCTAGCAATTATCTTAATTTATTACCGTGACTAAATGGAACCCATTCCGGTTGCAAATCCCGGAGGCATCGGCGGCAGCAGTAGCAGCAGTCACGCTCTGATTGGTCAGCGTGCAGAGCCAATCAAAGCAGGAGGTAGGCTTTAGTTCTCTCCCGACTCCCAAGTGTAATTTCATTTGACACGATCCTCGAGCAAGGGTGAAATGGGTTGCGAGTTCAGCGGTCACCACTTAAACACCTCTCTAGGTTTATCTCAACCGCGAACATCTCAATCAACCTCATACTCATCGACTAGCAATGCCTCCTCTTCGAAAGGCTCCGGTAGTGCCTCCTCCGTGGCCTCACGTGGCTCTTTTGAGCGGCGTGGAAGTCTTCTGCTCTCCTCGAGACGCACTCTAACGCGTCAGCGAACAACGGAGCAAGTAGAACACGCTGCAGTGGTTAAGCGACAACCTCTGAATGAGTATTTTACCGAGTTTGAGAAGGACGTTCTCATATCAACTTGGAAGGCAATGCTACTGTACACCAACGAGCCTGGAGCATTTATCTTCCGACTTGCAGCCGAGATGTGTCCGGAACTGAAAACTGCGTACAATGTTAAGTAAGTCTTCATTGTTTGAACCTCTTGGGACATTTTCCTACCATGGCATTTTGATCATTGGATATACATGCGTTCCTGTGATTTGAGTTGAATAAACCTGAATGTTCACCATGACCGAGGAGTACCACTATACCATAAAAATGAATGCCTAGCTCAGTAATCACCCCTCCTCTTATTACCAGGTCATCTGTCCTTGGAAAAACTACGGCCATCTAATGGCTTTCACTAAACGACTGCTAGGTGTCAGACCTTGTCGCATATTTTTCAATCCTCTTTCTGCTTTTGGCAGAGATGATGGTACAAACGAATTGTTTATGCATGACTGCTCCTCCGAGAGCTGGAGCTTTTATGCTCCGCCGTTTAACATTTGCACACCCATTTTCGCATTTGTGTGAACACAGCAAAAAAGTCTTTCACGTCTACAGTCCACCTAAAAGAAGAGGAAGAGGTACTTAGTGCTTTTAAGGGGAGTGACGACAAACATTGCACTTTTTTGTCCCAAAGCCCAATTCCAAGTCCACCTGAGTAATCTCCGGCCATTTAAAAATGTACGCCTATTCACAAGCAATAAAAGCAAAAATAGGTGGACTCTAATACCAGGAAACTCCAAGGCCTGCCCACCGTGGTGGAGACAATAGGCGCATGACTTGTGGCGTAGACCCGCCTACAACATAAATTTTTGTAAATAATATAGTTTTTTGTGTAGAGATAGGACGCTATTGGCACATTTCAATACTGGCATTTGATAGGCCTGAAATTACAAAGCAATTCGTTGATATTCCTTAGCAAATACTTGTTACTGAGACTCCTTCATATCGTGAATGAATGGGGTGTTTGGCTACATGCTAGACTTTGGTAGGCAGTATGCTTGACTGGGTGGGTGAGACATGCATTTTCAGAATCAAAACAACTATTTTGGTGGCCAAAAGCTGCTGTTCATAATGTTTTGTCTCTACGAGCGAGTGGGTAGATGAGGGATTCGCATTGACCTTCAGTGGACTTGGTTTTTTTTTCTCACTCAGATTTAACAGGAACGATGAGATGGTATTTAGCTCCTGTGCCCTGCAATACAGCCAGGCCTATATTGCTGTAATTGATGAGGCAATTCGGTCTCTGGAGGATCCTCAAGAGGGCTTCTACGATTCCATCCTCATTGCTGGAGCCAGTCATGCGGCAATTCCACACATGAAGCCCGACTACATCA